AAGGACCTTCAAAAAAAGAAAAAAAATAATAATATTATTATTAAGCAAATTTAAACTATAAATTAAAAATTTTGCCAGTTGTAAACATGTTGCCTTTAATTGGCAATGTATTTTAATCCTGTTTCACCTGATTTTTTTGTAATAAACTCCACTCATTATGCCTGAGAACAGCATTTATTCTATGTAGAGCATTAGTACCATGTATATAGTCAGTATAGTGAAACGTGAAATTATATTGGTAATATTATTACCCCCCAGTGAGCATAGAAGGTTGCACTTTGTGCTGGTTTGTCGTTGTATGTTATCCATTGATCAGAGGTAATAACGATCAGCGCCTTTGATCATTGATTTGGTTTGGAACTGGCGCTTTACAAAAAATAAAAAAATAAAAAATATTAATATTATGTCTAAGTCCATTATTGCTATCGTTACCGTTGTTGCTAGCATTAGTGTCATCATTATTGCTATCGTTATTACAATCACCTTTAATTAAGAATATCGTTATTATTATTGTTGAATTGATTTAATTAAAAAAAAAGACACCATGATTTTTAATCATCATTAAACATTATTAAATATTGTTTGTAACCGATAATTGAGCTGTAATCAGTATGTAACCGACAATATGATGCTCCTTTGTGAATGAACTAGGTATTGTGTGAACAGGATAAATGGCGTGAAATTAATTATTTGTAAAGTTAAACATTCTTTGTATGGAATCAATCGTCATTACACCGATAATAGATATGATTTTCACGACCTTTTTTATTTAATACTCGTCATCTGGTCGATCACGATATTCATTTCGAATGATATTCGATAACTCATGAGGTGTATATTGATGTTTGAAGTCACGGACCCCGTTTACGATGGACGTGCGATGTAACTGGCTGTCAAAAGTACAAAACATCTTACCAACCAGCAATACAGTAAGTCCTACTCGCGAACTTTTAAATCCCACAACGGTACACCCATTAATTCACATCGTGTTATTTCCTAGCAGATTGATTTGATATTTGCTAATAAATGTTCATCTGACTCTCCTTTTTCTATCCCGTATTCATGTGCCTCACCTCTTGCATGACTTTTTAAATATCACCCCATCTGACGTTATCTCTGCATCAAAAAATCTTAGTAACTCTAAATCTCCAGGTCCTGACACTCTTCGTAACTTTGTTATTAAGCTGTTTGTTTAATATTCGTGTGCTCCTTTCCAGGCTAAATTGTTTACTCTTTCCGTTAATACTGTTGTGCAGTCTAATTTTTCCAACTTTCAGTTTGGTTTTTGTTTTCAACGATCTACATGTGATTCTCTTAATTATATTTTTCATCTGCTATTTAAATACAGTGACGCCAAACTTTGTACTTGATTACCTGAGCAGCTTAGCTCAGTCGGCTAATCTGGTGGTAGCCACTGTGTGTGCGCTGAACCGTGGAGATCTCTAGATCCCCGGTTCAATTCCCATCGCTGCCTCTCCTTGTGATTCAGCTAGAGGGCTGAAATACAAGTTACAATAGTGCACCGTCTTTCGGATGAGACGAGTACACTCTTCGGAAAAGAGTAGGGGATTGTCACCCGTTGTACTGTTCAATCACCACCAGAAGGACCCTACTGGAAATAAGTCGTCTTCTAGACTTTCGTGGGCTATCCTTGGTGTTTACACCGAATAAATCCATTCCATTCCATTCCCTTGTTTGTTCGTTTTATATTAGATTTTTTTCCACACATGCATATACATAACAATCAATAAATGAAATTAATCATTATACAAAATTAGGCAATATGAGGTATATGCAAACAATATTACAAGATAATGTAATGAAACCAAAAGTTCCACTGATTAATCTCAGATAAGATAGCATAATACACATTCCAAGCATCATAACGCACGCCTCCATACACCAATCATGCCATCATCAGGAACAATTCCTGATGACGACACAAGCAGCACCGAAACACCGAATCCCCACACGATCGTGCCCACCCTAGCACCTGGAGTATGCATTACACCATCTGATGTGATAATAGATGATAATATAAAGGATTAGAGTATAAGTGTGCAACATATTAAGAAAACATGTTTAAAATTTAATATAAAATATTGCCTAATGATTAGGCTATAATTTGATAAACTAAAGAAAATGCTTAAATAATACATTAATTACATTAGATGGTGATGCAAGTGTGCATGGATTTTTTAATATACTGTAAGTTCGCAGAACTTAAGTCAAAAACCCCAATTAAAATCTAATTAATTATGACATTATGGTCAGAGTGACTTTAATAGTATTATTTTAATAAAATCATTATCATTATAACAATACTTATAGGTGTAATTTCCCCTACCTGACATAAAAATGTACTGAATATTCAGTATGTGTGAAAACAACTGCGAAAAAAAAAACAAAATCTCAATTTTGCATCAATTTTGTGGTAAAATTTTCTCTAAAAAACCTTGTTTAACTTGGTAGAAATTATTATTATTCTTTACTTGATTGAATTACTGTAGGATACAATTTATAAAACTTGTTAACAAGAAGGACAAAATAGATCACAAGAAAAGCAAATTTGCAAAGATGAAATAACCCTGTTCCTTGGTGATCTGCCTTGTTCGTTCTCCTCAAGTAGTCATATTAAAATCATATGTTACAATTTCCAACCAAGTTCTATATATAGGCTTGCATTGTACTTTAATGATTTTTACAATTAAATAACAACTGCTGTAGAAACACGTGGAAAGCCATGCAAAAATATTATAATTATTTATAGGTCTGATATTATTTTTGTAGTATAGCTATTCTTATTATTTATTTTTATTTTATTTCAGATTGGCAACACCCAATATGTTTTTCAATGAACGTAGCACCTTACAAAAACTGACAAAAGTCAACTCTTCATTTCACAACACAGGGACCACCCAACTATTTTTCAATTCAATTGAATTCTACCCTCAGATAGAACTATTTATTTATTTAGGGCTATATTTTTTTCCTAGGCCAAGTTGATTTTGTTCCGAGTTGGTTTTAGGGCGAAGTGATGCCTGGGCCGAGTTAGTTTTGGTCCGAGTTGGTTTGGGCCAAATTGATTTGGGCCGATTTGGTTTTGGGCTGAAGTGACCAGCATTCGAATGTACAGTCCAAGAGTATAGACAATTATTTGAACATTACTGTTGTTGGGGGGAGGGGAGAGGTGGGGAGGTTAACAACCTTGCCTGTCAGGGGTCCATGTCGCTTTGCTCTAATATTTTTAGGCGTAACTGCTTTTTGATGCCTTTGTAGTCTCAACACATTTTCAGGGCAAAATCTGTAGTTCTCTTGATCCATTTCAAGAAGGAATCAATCACACATTGGACCCTGTTGATTTCATCTAAATTTTAATTTGCAGAACGTAGTTAATTAGTTAACTTTATAATACATCCTATCATTAAAGCATCAAATACATTATAATAAATAACGTATTCACAAGTTTGTATTGCTCAATTGTAAAATTGCAGATACTGAAGCAAAGGCTGCTATTTGGCCGATTCCACTTTATGTTAAAAAGAAGATAATCAAGTTTTCATGTACAAGGTAATTTATGATTGAAAAATGATTAATGTTGTAATTGAAAAATGTTTAATTCCCTGAATTTTTCACATCCAAATTCCTGTGCCAAAATATAAATGGTCCAGAGCAAAATTTTTTTTCTCATTAACATCCACTTCCTTTAGCCCCATCACAAGGACCTTGTGTTTATGTTTGTCTTTTAAAGTCAGGCTTCGGAGGAAAAAGAATTTTTGATATGTTCTAGAACTGATTTTTCTAAGACAAAAAAAAAGTTGTTTGACTAAAACTGGGGAACGGTGAATGAAATAAAGATTTTTGAATATTTTACTGGGGTAAAACGGGGCATAACCGCCTTTTTTTACACCTTTTTACCCCCAGTTTTAAAATCAGTTCTACAACACATCAACAATTTTTTTTCCTCCGGAGTCTAAGTTTAAAAGGGGTTGTCACTTTAAAAGACTGATGTATTCACTAATTGTCAATCCATGGCCCTTGTGCCTAAATAAATAACAAAGTAAATAAATTTTAACTACCATACCTCATGGTTAAGACCTGCTGCGCCCACTGATCCCACAACCAATGGACTTGTTGATATATCCTGGCAGATTGTGCAATTATTTGTTTCTAAATGTTCTTTTTCACACCTTAAATTCTTAGGTCATTGTTAGCATGTCACAAAAATATTACTGGTGCACTGTCATAAATAGCCCCCTCGGCCACCACAAGTTCGAAATTGTTGGTGCGCTGCCATCGGTAGCCCATTCACCCACCACTGATCCGAGAAGTGATTGAGTCACACAAACTGTTTAGTGCACTACCATAGGGAGCCCATTCAGTCACTACTTGTCCCAAAAGTTGAGCCACACTATGTGTAATTATATACTCATAAGATATCAAATGATAGCAGTCTCTGATATTTTCATGACATAAATTTTAATTTGCATTTTATTCGTACTATGTTTAGTTGCAAATTTAAAAATGCATTTATAGTATTATAGCTGTGTCATTTTTTTTTTTTTAAACTAGGGTGATAGTGACAACAGCAAACTGGCTGATGTGTATCTGAAAAAAGATGCAGGGACACCACTGCTGCCAGAAAAGTTCACCTTGTCGAAGGAGCAAATATATGTACGGTGTGTGATATGGTCACAGCATGCCGTGTACCTATGCTCATACTATATTTTCCATTTACACTATGTAGCTAGTTTTCAGGGAACACTTGAATTTTCTCAAGTGGCTTTCTTGAAAAGAGTGTTCTTTTACTCTTATTTCAAAACACCTAATGCATAGACTGATGGTGAAAGCTTTTGTAAAATAATTTGAGTCAGTCAATAAAGTATACTATCTGTATTTTCATTCTGTATGTATTACAGGCTGACTAACATGGTATCTCTACAATCTTGTACAGCATGTCTACTGTTAATTAATTTTCAGATTTTAATTTTATTTTATAAGTGTATGATCCAAAGCATAGGTGTATGTGCAATATAAAAGCTGGGTACAAATTATTCATTATTGGTTCTTTTTGTATAAGACAGCTATACATTTATGTAGAGGTGTTGCATTTACAGTACACCTAATACATCCGACTATTGTCCAATTTGGAGGTCCATTACAGTCCGGGGTTGTAATTTGTACACGTCAAATTCACTGATCCTGGTCCTCATTCGATCACCTTTAATTAGAGAACAGCAATAACTGTCTCTTATACACATCTAGATGTGTATAAGAGACAGTGATTAGGCTATAATTCGATAAACTAAAGAA